GAGGAGAGAGGAGAGAGGAGAGAGGAGAGAGGAGAGAGGAGAGAGGAGAGAGGAGAGAGGAGAGAGGAGAGAGGAGAGAGGAGAGAGGAGAGAGGAGGTGAGATTCAGGATGGATTTTGTCTTGATCTGACATGCCCACTGGTTTTCATATTTTTAACTTTTAATAAAACTCAAACTACCACTGAGTCATATTTTTCAGTTGCCAAAATACGTACTAATACTCCTCAGTTAATTTTTATTAGTATATGGCAATGAAAAGCACCTTTTAATATAAGAAAACAGAAAGTGCATCAAGCAGGTGTGCATAAAAATGTTTCCATATTTTCCAAGTCTGCCACAAAATCATCTCCAATTCACATAAGGTCAGTCAGGACAGTCATCACTACTTCTCATAAGTATTCAGATTTATAAAATGAGTCTACTTTAAGGATATTAAGAAATAAACTCCAAGGTTTAGATATGAAACATTGTGTCTAATGCATGAGTAATATTTCTAAAAGGACCTGTGAGATACATTAATAGATAAATTCACTTGTCATCAAGCCTGACAACCCCAGGACCTATATGACGGAAGGAGAGTATTAACCTCCACAAGCTGTCCCCTTCACATGCACTCCATGGTACATGAGTGTGCGCATGTGTACATGCGCACACACACACATCATAATTTTCTTAAAAGAATATTTCCCAAATGACAGAAGTTAATACAATTCAGAGACTGAAACAACAGCCATGCTAACGCATCTTTCTGTACACTAATATTGTGAGTGGTGTTTTTTATGGATTAAATCCTATGAGGGTCAATAAACATAAAGCCAAACACAACTACCTAGTCTAAATGCTAAGCCTGTGCCTCAGAAGTCCCAGATGAAGCCTACCTTTGGTAAGGCAAATGCAATCTGGAATTTCTTGTACTGCAGCTGATATCCTAAGCTATACTGCTGTGAATGCCACATAAGCTATTGACATCTTGTTTGTAGTTTCACTGGAGAATAAAATTTTAAAAAAATTCAAGAAAGCCACACAGTGTGAATAAATATTACTTTTCTGGAAAACACACGACTCTGTTTAATGCTCAGTGCTCAGCTGAATCTATATGGTAATCCATTACAGCACACTCAAAATCGAAATTAGGTATTACTACCGATCAGCACATCAGGGAATCTGTCATTCTTTTAACTGATTATCCATAGCTACTTTTTCTTCAGAACCTACTACATGACCAGGAATAATATGAAACATAAGCTGGAGTTTATACAAGATGCTACCGTGAACTTTAAAACCATCAGTTGTTAGTTAATTTAGATGAGAAACTTTTTTTTTCCAAATTATTACCAGATGATAGGGGCATGCCCTAGCTGATTCACACTTGATTTCAAGTCTACATGGAAAGCAGGGCGGCAAAGAATGATGAAAATACTAATACCAGTTAACGTACCTGCAACAATAAGCAACTAAACCTGTTCAGCTTGAGACTAGAAATTGAGA